GCCAGAGTGGGGCTGGACAGGGGGTGGGATCAGAGGAAAATACCCTTGGGGTGATGTAGAAGTGCTTGCCACAGTGAGCAGCACTGTACTGCAAAGGCAAAGTGTCACTTAAACCCCGAACATTTTAGCAAAGAGAAAATCAGGAATATGTAGAGTCTGTTTTGCAAAGAAATAACCTTCAGGGTTTCCTCTGCTGCAACCTCAAGAAATTCCACAGCTGCTGCTGCGTGGGAGGGAGCCCAGGGAGCATTTTTCTCCTCTGTGTGAGTCTGATGCTCAGGGCTGGCCACAGCCCCTGGCCAGGAAGGGCTGTGCTGAGCAGCACATGCTGCAGCCCCCCTGCCCCAGGTGCCCAGAGCTTCTCTCCACCCCCTTCCCAGCCAGCCAGAAATGTTACAGAATTCTGTATTCTTACAAATCCCTGTGCTTTCCAGAGGGGCTGAGACCTCAGCTGTCCTGTCCCAGAGGCTCCTGGAGCTGCTTGAAGTGCTCTGCAAGGGGCAGAGGGGATGTGCCAAGAGTGGTTTGCTGCTCCTGGAGGTATTTTCTACTCCTAATTAATGCAGTAAAAATGGGTATCTGCCAAGAAAGTAAAAATATTTCTGTTTTCAATATCCAGGGCAAGTAAGGAAAAAGCAATGCAGACTGGGCTGAATGTCTGCAGACACCATCTCCCCCTGCCTAGCTCCTGTTTAACCCATCGGGACTCTTGGGAGGTTCCTGCCCTGGCTGTGGCTGCTGGGATGAGCCACAGCTCTGTGCCAGCTCCCACTGCTCCTCCTGTGACAGCCCAGCACAGGGACACCCAAAATGTCCAGGGCCAGACTTGGGATGAGCAACTGGGGGTCTGTGTCCCTCCTCAGGCCGGTCCCAGGATGGAGTGGGAGCACTGGGAAGCACCAGCTCCTCCTGGTGCCCTGTGTAATGGCCAGAACAAAGAGTACTGGGGAGCACTGGGGAGCACTGGGGAGCTCTGAGGATCGTTGGGGATCACTGAGGAACACTGAGGAGCTCTGGGGAGCTCTGGGGCTCACTGAGGAGCATTGGGGAGCTCTGGGGAACACTGAGGAGCACTGGGGAGCACTGGCGAGCACTGGGGAGCTCTGGGGAGCTCTGAGGATCATTGGGGAGCACTGGGGATCACTGAGGAACACTGAGGAGCTCTGGGGAGCACTGGGGAGAACTGGGGAGCTCTGAGTAGCATTGGGGATCACTTAGGAGCACTGGGGAGCACTGGGGGAGCATTGGGGAGTACTGGGAAGCACTGGCGAGCTCTGGGGAGCTCTGGGGATCACTGGGGAGCACTGGGGAGCTGTGTCCCTGCTGGTGCCCCACACAAGGAGCACTGAGGAGCACTGGGGATCACTGGAGAGCACTGGAGAGAATTGGGGAGCACTGAGGAGCTCTGTCGCTGCTGGTGCCCCATCCCAGGATGGTGAGGGGAGAACCAGGCTTTTCCAGAGCCCCATCCCAGGATGGAGCAGTGGGGCCCTGCTGTCCTGGTCTCTCCCCATGCTCCATCCAGCCAGAGCCATGTCTCTCCTCTTGCCCCATCGCAGGCTGGAATGGGGAGAGCTAAGGAGCTTTGGGCCCTCCAGGTGCTTGTCCTTGGATACAGTGGGGAGCCCTGTGTCTCTCCCTGTGTCCCATCCCAGGGTGGAGAGGAGAGTTGTGTCCCTCGTGGGCAGGCATGGGCAGCACTGGGGAGCACCGTGTCCCTCTGGAGCCCCTCCATCCGGGCTG